CTGACCATCAAAACAATCCGCAAAGAGATATCTGGGACTGGATTGGTGTCTGCAATATACATGCACATTCGATTGGATTAAATAGAGACCCTTCATCTTCGACCGATATGGACCCGATAACTAAGAGGCTGAGGACCCGAATCTGGTGGAGCTTATACTCGCGGGACCGTCTCATTGCGATGGGGCTAAGACGCCCGACCCAGGTGAACGAAGGGACAAGCAATGTCCCTATGTTGAAGCTGGAAGATTTTGACTTCGAGCCGTTCCACCCTAGCGTGACTGAGATGTTCCGCTGTCGTCAGCTGGAAGATGTTAACCACCAAAAGCGCCTGGCAACTATGTTCATCGAAAAGGCCAAACTATGCCAGTGCATCGGACGGGTCTTGTTCGCTCAGTATACCCCATCACAGTGTCAGTTTGGCGTGACAACACGAACTACCATCAGCCTAATCCCTCGACAGGCATCAGAATCGGAGTTGGCACGATGCAGTCAGCGGTTGGAATCATGGTTGAGTGCACTACCTAAAGACGCACAATTTATTCCTGCATCAAGGACAAACTTCCACGATGGAGAAGATGTCCTTCTCCTCCACGGTGCCATGGTACGAATGCTGTATCATGCGACTACAAGTGCACTGCATCGTCCTTGGGCCTTCACGCCCAACAAGGATCAGTCCAAAGCACGCAGGGAGTTAATTCAAACTGCGCAAATAAAGATGCATGACGCCGCAGTCGGTATCACACATATCATCCAAGGTCTCAACCAACTCAACCTCACGCGATTTCTCCCACAATCTGGTGTGACCGTCATCATCCCAGCCGCTGTGGCCCATCTGGCAAACTCCTCATCTGGCAATCCCGCTACCCGAGAATCCAGCATCTACAACTTTCAGCGCTGCATCCAAGTGCTGCAAGGCCTTAGAGACATTTACCCTGCAGCAGACATGGAGGTCGCGAACATCGAAGCGGCAGTTAAGCTACAGTCGGACAGCGCAAACACCTTTCTCCGAATCATGCAATACGCCAACAACTCCGGTTCGATACCTCAAGGCCAGTCACCAGAACAAGCACGAAAGCAAAGCACCATCTCAAACCCACACACCATGGCATCAGCAGAGGACCGAACCTCTAACCACTGGACGCCTCCCCGAGACGACCCAGACCCTACCAACAATCACAAACAACCCGGACCTCATCATTCAGCCAGTCCAACCAAGCAACAACTACAACAACAACAACAACAACGCACACCACCCAAACGCCACAGCAGCACAATCAACCCACCCCCAATGTTCAACAGCAACTCCTCCACCACCAATACAAACCATCCCACCAACCCCCTTTCCAAACAAGCCGAACCCACCCCACCCAACGACTTCGACGACGACCCCATATCCAACTTCCTCAACGACAACAACAACAACAACAACAACCCCACCATCTCCCCCCGAAGAACCCACCCCCAACCCAACCCCACCTTCGACCAACCCTCCGACCAATTCCCCTTCGACTTCGACCTCGACCTCGACTCCTTCGCCGCCGACTTCCCACCCCAAACCCAACCACCCACCAACCTCAACCCCACCTCTACTACTTCCCACCCCGACGCCTCCCCAGACCTCGACATCGATTGGGCCAGTGAGCTCCTCAGATGGACTGGACCTGGTCCAGAGGACGCATTAACCAATAACAATGATTTGTTCTCGCCGTTTGCGCCGACTCATAATGTTGTGAGTACGCCCGGGCAGAGGTCACTGAGTCATGTGACTGGGGATATTACGGGGGATTTGGATAGGGATTTGGGGTTTGTTCCGTCTGATGAGGAGATGTTTTAGGTTTTTGTTTTGTTATTTGTGGTGTGATGTGTGGTGTGGTGGGGTGGGGTGTTTTTGTGTTCAGTGTAAATATATATAAATAGTTTACTTAGTCGCGGAAGTGGTGTGTGCGTATGGATAGATGCGCTCTGTAAATATATGTTGCTTGCCACCAAGCATTTCTGTCCTACATACTACTCAGGTTAGTATTAGAGACTCATGAATGAAGACTGGTAGTACATTATTACTAGTACGTACTAGTACTACTACGAGGTGAATACCATTGAAAATTTCTCTAACCCTCTTCTCATATAGTCTAGATAGTACCAGTAGTACTCATAACTAACTATAAAACATGAATGCTTAACATGACTTGAAAAAATAAAATATAAGACTCGTCGCTCGCCCTGTACATTAGCCACCATATATGCGATCTGTGAATCGTTGAGACTGATTCTAGATGACTTGCGTCTTAAGCTGACTATAGATATGAGATCAAATAAATATGTTTGGTCGATGACTCGCACTACTTGCGAGCCCAGCGGTTGCTTTCATCGCCCTCTTCCCATTGGTGCTCAATGTAGCCAAGCTTCTTCTTGACACTTTGTACAGTCTCCTTGTCACCTGTGTTCTTGCCCATGTTGTCGCTCAGCTTGACGGCTGGGCGGCCGTTAGCGGTGGCGATCTTGATGACGATGTTGAGCGGCTTGGATTTTTGGCCGTCGGATTTGTTCGTGAAGTCGTCTGTGAGGATCTTGTTAGTTCATAATTTCGTGGAGACATTGGGGTAGGACCCTATATAGTACGGGTATATGGGTATAACGCACTAGTGAAGAAAGTTCCGACACCGAAGACAGGGTTGAATCCGGCTTCTTCGGCGATCACCTTGTATTCAAGGCAGTGCTCGATGTCTAATGAATCGGAAAAGACAATGGTCTTCTGGTCCTTGACTCCCTCTCTGTCGTAGAAGTCCCGCACCATCTTCACAAAGTATGTGGGGTCGCCAGAGTCCTGGCGGACACCGGTGTAGACCTGGGCGTAGGTCTTGTTGGCATGCTCGCCTTGAGCATCGTTGACCAGAGGAGCCGCAATTGGGGGTTTGGTAGTAGCCTCGCTCTGTACTGTTGATTCTGTCGTGGTGCCGGGCCCGGAGGCGGTGGTGGAGACTGCGCCGACACCTGCACTGGTGAAAGCAGGAATGGGTTTGCGGAAAGCGTCGAGGAAAGCGGGCGTGCCGAATGTGTCGGTTAGTGCAACACCCAGGACCTGATATGCGTTAGTTACTGGGGCCCGACGATTATAGGTCTGCGGACTTACTCCTTCACCAAAGCAGCCAAGCCAGTAGCGCAGAGCCATCTCGTTCGCGTTCTCGTAGTCATCCGTGATGGCAGCGATGGTCATGTACCATTCATGGGCCACAGTGCCCACAGGCGCCACACCGTACTTCATGGCAAAGTGGACGTTACTCGTGCCGGTAAACACTCCCTTCCATCCTTGCTTCTTTCCTTCCTCCGCAGCCTGCATCAATCCCTGCATGACCAGATCGTGGGTGTGGTAGTCGCGCCGTCTTCGAGAGCCGAACTCGGAAAATATGCAACCATTCTCCAACAACGCGCATCCTTTCCGGAATGCCTTGTCCTCTTGACAGCTATAGTCCCAGTCCTTATCGGTGAACATGAAGTAGGCCTGACTTGTCAGAGCCAGCAGTGGGATCTCGTACAAGATCGTTTCCACCCACAGACCCTTGACGACGTAGTTGACGTTGCCGAGATCATTGTCGCTGCCAGTATCCTGCTCCGGCAAGAAGTGAATTTCGATCTGTTCTGACGGCTTGAGCTTGAGGTTGGTCAGGTAGTCCAGGTAAGCGTTGTTGAAGTACGGGCACCATTTCTGTAGGAACTCGATCTCCTCATTCGTGACTCGGATATTCGCAATCGCTGATGAAGCTATTTGTCAGACTAGTCCAGATCTCCGACACACAGTCGAATTACATACCATCCATCTGTGCCAGAAGCCATTTGTAAGCACCCCGCGTTAACTTCATATCCGGGGTGCGATTTGTGAAACCATATGTGACATCTATATTCAAGAGAAAGATTAGCCTGGCCCACAGAGCTTTGAGAGCTATATCGGCGTCTTACAAACATCTGGGAAGTACTTGAGGACGGCGCATTGCATCGTCAATTTGTACAGATCCGTATCAAGCAACGAGAAAATACCCTCCGGGAGCGGAGGGGTATTATTTTGAGCCATGACGAGGTAGATTGGACCACACCGCGAGTAGAAGATAGAGCGCAGAAAGAAAATTCCAAGCGAGGGACCGGAAGACAAGGACCAAAGGCGCGAGATAAGGAACAAGCAGGCAGACGAATTCGGAGGAAAGTACTCAGAAGAGAAATCTCCCATTGCGTCTCTGCGCGGGGGAATCACCGACTGCCTGACGCTGTTTGCACTGTTTGCACCCTGGCTTTCGTCATCAGCAAATCGCCGGCCCACATCTTTTCTCTATGTTGTGATCTCTGAATTTGATAGGGTTTACTTTAACAGGACATTTTGGAGTTAATGCAAGAAGTACTTTAGAGATGGAATGTCATGGGTGGCGTTGTGCGCATTTCCTCATCCTCGCAGGAACCCCTCGGGGAACCCCTCCGTCTGGGTCTAGACTGACTGCATCCCACATGCATCATGCCATGTCTACAAGGTATGGATATCAGGATATGAATTAGTCAGTTACAGAACATACATGTGTATACGAAGAGCTATTATAGCTATGAGAGATATGATTTCCGCCAGAAGCACTGGACAAATTGTACAGCGTAGTTGCTGCCAGAGTTGTAAGGCAGCAATACCCCGCCCGTTTGCATTAGAGACTGTGGCTGGAGAATGGCTTGATTTGATGAACAAGAAGGGAGATGAAGGACCCGCCAGGTACTCTGAATATGTAAATGAAGCTTAAGCCATTCCACGTCTTAGTGAGCTACTACAAAAGCTTTGACAGCCAAGAGTCACCACATCTTTGGGTCTGACAGTTAGGATCGCCAATCTGTGGCTTGACTGTGTTGACTGTGGCTGAGACTCCGGGCCCGGAACATTCTAGATCCGGCAATCCTGTCGCTCCCTCCCTTCGGCGTCCCGTCGTTATCCCCGATCAATGCTTCTCAGCGCCACCATCTCAGCCTGTACATACTCATCATCGATTCCATCCGTTACGACATCGCGCCGAGTCACGGAATAGCCGACAGCGGGCTGCGTCGCATTCTACACCTTGTTCAACGCGCATCCGGTCGCACCCCGAAGGCACCCCGATAGCGGCATCTATCAAGGCCCGATTCATATCGGGAACGACGACCAGTGAACGCGCAACATGTCGCAGGCTCAGGACGACCCCGCGGCCGTTCTGGAACTTTTCGTCCACGATGTGGCGAACCTCCCAGCTGAAATCAACCATCTGATGGAAGAGATCCAGGCCAAGGACAAGATCATCCAAGAATGCCGCACCACCATCAACTCCCGCGACACCAGTCTCCAGAAATTCATCCGCTTAAACGGCAGCTTGACGCCCAACCCGAAAGAAGAGCAGTATGGCAAAGCCATAATACAGAACCTCGACAAGTCGCAACAGCTGCAAGATGAAAAGATCCAACTGAGCGAGAAAGCATGTGTTCTGCTGGACCGACATATCAGAAAACTGGACATTGCCATCCACAAGCTGCAAAGTAACGGCATGCTCTCGAACGACCCTCCTATCCCCTCCCTCTTCAACAACAAAGACCAATACCGCGACCCTCCCAAGATCTTCTTCCCCGACTCCACCGTTGAGAACTCCTCCTTCCCCTCTCCTCTCAATGGCACCTCCGCAAACGCCAATGTCATATTAGGTGCCACCCAGAAACTCAACTCCCTGGGCCGGAACGCCGCCGCACTCGCTCTGAACTCCCCGACTGCCGCGCGAAGCTCCGCCCCAGCAACACCCTCAGGAACGATCCACTTCCAACGACAACAACGAGAATCCTCCGCCGGCGCAGTGGAAAACAAGCGCCGGCGCCTCAACGCCTCACTCGGAACACTTCCCGCGGCCTCGTCCAACCTCCGACAATCGTCTCTCGGCCCCGGTACACCCAAAGCCGGAACCCCCGCATCAAGCCGAGCCGGCAGCGCAGGACCGCGGTCAACAGCCTCCACCAAGAAAGCCGTAACCAAGAAAGTGGCCCCGCACCAACAACTCAAGAAGATCAAAGCCTCCGGACTCAACGGAAAGCACACGAAGCGATCATCCAGCGCAAGCGGCCGTCTCAAAGTCAGCGGGACGAAACAATCCCCATCCGCTGCCGGAGGCGACGAAGACGAGGACGACTCCATGCTCAGCAGTGCCGATATCTCGGATTCCGAGAACGCCGACGAGGGTAGAAGGGACGAAGACATGGAAGACGAGGAAGAAGACGAAGGCAACGAAGATACCAAGGTGTATTGTACGTGTCGCAGTGTCAGCCATGGAGATATGGTTGCGTGCGATAACGACAATTGCGAGTTTGAGTGGTTCCATTGGAAATGTGTGGGCTTGACGAGAGAACCTGTTGGGAAGTGGTTCTGTCCGCAGTGTTCAGCGAAATTGCAGGCTTAGTTTGGTTCATATAGTTATACCCCCCTTCCTCTTCTGTCTCTGTGTGTATTATTATAATGACTATATAGGATGTTACGACGGCGTTTACCATCCCTTTTTCAATCAAACCAGGATGCATTCGACTTCTGATTCAGTCTTATATTACTAGTAGTAGTTTACCAGCAAGCAGGTAGTAGTAATTGTGATTGTAGTTCTTTCATCCACTGATGAACCACAGCAGCCCATCCAAACAACCGATAGTACTATATACTACAATGGACAATCCAGCCAACAAAAACCCAAAATACTAGTTAGTAGTATAGTGAATAGCTAACAAGTAGCACCAGGGAATTGTCAAACCGACATCCATCCATCCAATCAATTGATCCCTTCCTTTCCCTTCCCTTCCCACCACCGCCCATCGCTTTTCCATCCTTTTTTTCTTTCCCAGAAAAAGAAAATATAATAAAAGCCCTAGAAAATTCTTTTGTTTTTGAGTTGCCCACATTGAGAAAAGAAGACCGTTGTTCCATGGCCGATCCCAATATCAGACGTAAACGCCATCGCTATGCAAACAAACATCATCTGGCGCATGCTGCGCTAATTGTATACAGGAATTGTGTTATGAGTATGAGGTGAAAATGATGTGTGAGGTAGATAATAAAGGAAAATCAAAATCCGAGGGCCTTTTCTAGCCAGGGGTCAAAGTATTCGCAGCTCTCGGGACTGACAGCTCCGCCGGGAGCGCAGAGCTTGAAAACCGGACAGTTGCCGCAGGGTGCTTCGGTCATGCCGTTCTTGACTAGCCTGTCGTCGATGCCTGCGTCGTCGGTCCGGGGCTTGCGCGCTTGTTGGGATTTGACTTGTTCGGGGTTCTTGACCGATTTGTAGAATTCGCCGTTGTTCAGAGAAACTAGCTTGTTGTCGTAGCAGAGCATCTCTAGGAGCTGAGTGATACTCTCTTCGCCCAGGCGGACCGGTGTGATGCCACTCTCGTTCACGGCGGCTGTTAGCTGAGGTATGGTGGGGTAGCCCTGATACCCGGCTGGGAAGGGGAGGTACTCCTTTGGAGCGCCTTCTTGCTTGACAGCTACACCTCCGTCCGCGGTCTTCATGCGTTTGTTTCGAGGACCGTCCGAGGACGGGGCCTCGTACCAACTTTTCCGGCTCACGGAGTACTCGATAAAGCCGGCGACGCTGTTGATGAAGTTCTCGTCCAACACTCCGTCGGTAAACCAGGCTCCTCCAGTCACGTCTTCACTTGGGGCGAGGTTCGCCAGCATGTACATCTTCCGGCTGGGGAATTTGACATTGTGAACGCTTTTGATGTAGCTTTTCGTTTCCAGGGACTTGAGGCAGCGATCGAGAATGGATTTGTGGAGGTTGGTGCGGTTGCCAATTGCGCGGACCCAGATACCGGACCGTCCTGTCGAATGGATGACATTGTAGACTAAACTCTCGTCGGGGCTTAGGTCTCGAAGTCTAAGCAGGAGGGTTAGTGGGGAGAGTTCCTAAGTCAAGTTCTCAACGATAAAAATAGTCCTACTTTTCAGCATCATCCCGCGAAATAATCTTCCAGGCTAAGCGGTCATTTTTGCCCTGGAGAAGCCGAAAGAGCTTCTGGTTGACGAGCGACTGGGCGCAGCTCAAGAGAAGGGCGAGGTCATTCTTGGGGACAATGTTCAGACCCAGAAGATCTTGCTGATAGAACAGATGATCGGAAGGGAACTGGTTGACACAGGCATCGTAAAGTCGAGAGGCCAGTTCGTTGACCGAACTGCCTGACGGCCCCGCGGAGGCCATTTTCACGACGACAATTGTAGTGGAGTCGTTAACAGGAAACTATCACCGGACGGGCTCGTGAAGGGGCATGATCAAGAATGCATCCCAGGTTGGACGGTCGCTGCAGTAGCCGGGACAAAGCAATGCCCGGGGAGTTGGCAGGGGAAGCAGGCGCAAAGTTGACGGTCGTCGAGAGGGAGAATCGAGTTTCGCAGGCCGAAAAGAAGATGTTTTTGGCGGCTTTTCTTTCTCTTTGGGTTTAGCGGGGGAGTCACTTTGGCCCGGAAGGGTTTAGGGCCAGTCCTAGCTTTGACAGCCTGTGTCTGCCTTGTAGCCTTGCAGCCTTGCAGCCTTACTGCCTCATGATCTGTGCTGTGGCCTCAGGCTGGAACCCTGTCTCTCGGAAATTTCGAGAAGCTCCCGGCAAAAGAGAAGAAGCTCCGGTTTAACTGATCTGCCCGGTCCAGCTGCCCCCGTCTCTCACTTATTTCCCCAACTCACCACCACATTTCCATCCTTTTGCTTCTACATCATATACCCCTTGGAAGTTATACAGCATGGCTGACGCTCTGAAAGCTGAAGGCAACAAGGCCTTCTCCGCAAAGGACTATGCTACTGCGGTGTATGTATCTCTCTCCCCCGGTTTACCCCGCTTGCAAAAAGGTCTGGGAGGATCGAAGCCATGAACCGCAGCTGATTGGCCTATAGTGAGAAGTTCACCCAAGCTATCGAAATCGAGCCCTCAAACCACATTCTCTACTCCAACCGTTCGGCTGTCTACTCCGCGCAATCCCAATACGAGAAGGCTCTCGAGGATGCCAACAAGGCTACGGATCTCAAGGCGGACTGGTCGAAGGGATGGCTCCGCAAGGGTGCCGCTTACCGTGGTCTAGGCGACCTTTGTAAGTTGAGAGATGTACTGTGGTGAGACTAGATCGGGGTTACTAATACGTATGTAGTGGCTGCCCACGATGCGTACGAAGAGGCCCTCAAGCTCGAGCCTACCAACGAACAGGCCAAGACCGGTTTCAATGCTGTCAAGAGGGCTATCGAGGCTGAGGCCACGGCCGACGGTGTTACAGGTGACCCTATGGGAGGACTCGGTGGTATCTTCAACGACCCTCAGATGTATCAGAAGCTGGCCAGCAACCCCAAGACCTCCCCGCTCTTGGCCGACGCCGACTTCATGGCCAAGCTTCAGCGCATTCAGCAGAACCCGAACAGCGTTGGTCAGGAGATTCAAGACCCTCGCTTCTTGCAGGTCATGAGTGTGTTGCTGGGTATTGACATGAGCTTCGGCGCTCCCCCGGAGGGCGCTAGCTCTGCCGGTGCTGCCCCCGAGGCTGAGGAGGATGTGCCCATGCCTGATGCTCGCCCTGCCGCTGCTGAGAAGAAGGAACCTGAACCGGCACCCGAGCCCGAGGCTGAGCCCGAGGACGAGGAGGCGATCGCCAAGAAGAAGGCCCAGGAAGCTGCTGACGCCGAGAAGAAGATTGGTAACGACTTCTACAAGAAGAAGCAGTTCGATGAGGCTATCGAGCACTACAACAAGGCCTGGGAGCTGCACAAGGATATTACGTACCTCAACAACCTTGGTGCTGCCAAGTTCGAGAAGGGTGACCTCCAGGGCGCCATCGAGACCTGCCAGAAGGCCGTCGAGGAGGGCCGTGAGCTTCGTGCTGACTTCAAGGCTCTTGCCAAGTAAGATACCTGTGGGTGTGACTACCGACGCGGTTACTAATTCAGTTGTCTACAGGGCTTTCGGAAGAATCGGTACTGCACACGAGAAGCTGGGCGACCTTGCCCAGGCCATCGAGTACTACCACAAGTCGCTCACTGAGCACCGCACACCCGATGTCCTGACTAAGCTGCGGAACGCCGAGAAGGCCAAGGCCAAGGCCGAGAAGGAGGCCTACGTTGACCCCGCCGAGGCCGAGAAGGCCCGTGAACTGGGACAGAAGAAGTTCCAGGAGGCTGACTGGCCTGGTGCCGTCGAGGCCTTCTCCGAAATGGTCAAGCGGGCGCCCGAGGACCCCCGCGGTTACTCCAACCGGGCTGCCGCCCTCATCAAGCTGATGGCCTTCCCTCAGGCCGTTCAGGACTGTGACGAGGCCACCAAGCGTGACCCCAAGTTCATCCGCGCCTACATGCGCAAGGCTCAGGCCTTGATCGCCATGAAGGAGTACAACAAGGCTCTGGATGCCTGCACGGAAGCTTCTGAGCACGACGATGGCACCCATGCTCGCGAGATCGACCAGCAGCAGCAGAAGTGCCTGGAGGCTCAGTTCAGCGCCCGTGCCGGCGAGACCGAGCAGCAGACCATGGAGAGAATCCAGAACGACCCCGAGGTAAGTCATGACCGTAAACAGAGAGCTTGCAGGATGTCTCGACTAACTCTTCATAGATCATGTCCATCCTCCAAGACCCTGTCATGCAGAGCATTCTGCAACAGGCCAAGAGCGACCCTGCCGCTCTGCAGGAGCACATGAAGAACGCCCAGGTGCGGATGAAGATCCAGAAGCTGATGGCTGCTGGTGTCATTCGCCTCGGACGGTGAGAGGCGAGCAGTATAAATGAAAGCCCACACATTCCTAGTAATGCAAATGAAGAAAAAGCGGACTGGATTGGCACGGCGATTAATTGATGTCTTTGTTTTTTTACGGCGATTACGATGCATGTGTTTCTAGTGACATGAGATGACATCCGAATTGATTATATATCAGTTGCAAATTGCAACGTTTGCTAAGACCCGACTAGTACTAGTAGTCTACGTAGAAACTAAACCCCCACCCTAGCTTAAGAGTTACTAATTGAAGACAGCAACTAGTACCTAGTGACGGCGATGACCGGGATGCAAAATAGTAGATAGTAGACCGCCACGCCACATGCCTGCTCCCTCGCTTAATACTACAGCAAAACCACATCAAGATTGCAGACAGCCCTTTTTCCTGGATCCAGATCTGGCTTTAGATCCGAATCGGATAGCCGATATCCGTTCCAGTGATCAATTCAGAGCAGTGCCTGTCTCTTTGACCAAAGTAGTAACTTAACAGATGGGTGTGGGTAATCCCCGATCCCCGACGCGATCCAAAATTCGAACCACTTTTCTTCCTTTTTCAGCACATTCCAGCCACAACACCACACCACATCACATCACACTAACCCATATCTTACGTTGCCGACATAAGCCAAAGGCAGAAAGAGAGATAGAATAACCCCGTGGTTATCAATTCCGACTCTTCCGATAGAATATATTGACATGTGACTACTGTAGGCAAGATAATAATACGAAGGTACTCCGTATCTTGTCTCAAATATCTTAATTCCCCAGCCACCACCACCTCCTCCCTCTCCATCGACACATCTTCCAATGGTTGGGTTTATCCAGAGAGTAAATTCCGCGGTAGGCGAAACCTCGGACATAAGTGGTAGTTAGTTAGTAGTCTTAGCTTAGGTACCCCACTGTTCGTTCCGAAGACCCAGCCTCAGTTCCAGTTTTCAGTTCCCAGCCACTCGTGAATTAAACCTCAAAAGGATAACTTAATTTGAGTTTCGTGTTTGTTGGATTGGTTCTAACGAGTGCGTCGTCATCGGGTAGCTTTCATACCAGATAAATAGATAGATGGATAGATAATTTAGATAGATAGTATACACAAACTGTTGACTCTTTGTAAGTAGATAAATAGTAGTAGTAGTAGTGGTGGTGGTGGTGGTGGTGCATATCTCCTTTATCTCCAATCGGACCCGAAAGGAATGTAATTGTCTGATATCCACTAGTAGTCACCAATGTAGTATGTGGGACAAATTCGCAGTGAGATTACATTGTGGCAAATTTGTTTTTCTTTTCTCCGCCCATCCATCCATCCATCCATCCATCAAGTCTGGGTCCGTGCCGTTTTTTTGTTCATCGTTCGTTCCTGCTGTGGTACGTACGTAGTACTTTTTTTAGTTTTTACTGGGCAGCGGTCTGTCCACTGGGTATGTGTGTGGCTGGTGAGAAGGAAGAAGAGAACAGAACCCGCTGGGCTGAGCTGTAGCTAGTACAATGTGGTTAGTCAGGTTTAATCATTGTGGAAGTCATTTCCGGATTGTTTGCTTTGCTTGTTTGTTAGTTAGTTGGTTAGTTGGGGGTGTGGATTAGGGTTGGTATTTCGTTTGGGATGGGGTTTGTAGTGATGATATTTATCATTATTTGTTTGTGAGTACTTTGTAGTCTTCTGTAGGATGTGGATGTGGTGAGATTTGCATTACAGCCAAGTAGATAGGCCGATCGATGGTGGTGGTGGATTCCCGACACGGGCTGACAACAGTACTTACTGTAGTTAAAAGAGAAGTGAGTGAGAAAATTGCAGATCCGTTGGAACAAAACAACTTTTCATGTCAAAGTTTCAACTAACTAACCGACTGCTTCTTTTTTTTTTTACTTTTCTTAATTCAGATTGGATCTACGATGATTGCGTAGACAGGGTACAAGGGTTTGTTTCATTTTTTTTTTTTATTTGGTTGCTTTATTTTCTTTCTGTTCCTGATTTATAATTGTATTATTTTAGCGTGCTGTAAGATAATAATAAATACTAAGTGCGAATTGTGAAAGCGCTGTAGCCTGCCTGCATTATTATGTATACTTGCAGATTTGTTTTTCTTTTTGTTGCAGCCTTGGAAAGGATGATGGGATAAATGGACAGTTCATTGCATGCCACGTGTAACAACAACACCTTGCCACTATTACTGCATGGGATAGCGATGTTAGCGCTGATGATGATGTATCCCGAGTTAAGAATTAGAGGTTATACTTGACTAGGAAGGGGTTACGCATGCAGTGTAAACTTGGAAGGGAATCAATCCTAGTACTCTTAGTAGTCTAGTACCACTATTCTCGTTCTTTGGATATTGGATATTAAAATCTCCATACTACTAGTAGTACTCCTTACTAAAGAGGAGAGGGGGGTATGGACCTTAGGGCTACCAACCAAAGTTGCAGTTAATATTCTCAGGTCAGAATTGACAAATAAGAACGAGCATGACTCGTAGCATTGGGACTGTAGTCAATATGTGCTGGTCAACACTAATCCCTGGGAGGGTTAGAATTCCGGCTCTAGGATGGTTAGTTAGCGAAGAAAGCCAAACCAAAGCCCGAAAGAAACTGCGAGAGAGAGGAGAACTTCGGAAATCAGAGGCAGAGGAACCCGCAATTGTGGCGGAAAAGTAGGAAGGGGGGGGAAGAGGAGAGGAGAGAAAATCCCAATCGGTGGCGGTGCAGGGCACAATCCATAATGCCAATAGATCGTAGACCGGCGCCCACTAGTCGATCGCGCCGGGGATGGTCCGCTGCTTGACAGGATATCCATGGTAGATGGCGTTTCGGATCGTGCACTCTCGGCGGAGATACTTCTTGTTGTTCGTGTAGATAATTGAGAACTGGGTGAAACTGAAGAAATTCTTGGATTATTATTATCTTCCGATTGAATCGGGAAGAAAGATGGAACAGGCCACTGCCATCTGTAATGTACTAGTACTTTGTAAATAGCTGGAGATCTCCTGATCGTTAGTACTTAGGGAGGAGTGAGACGGCGTACCGGGAATCTGGAAGGGGGCAGATGTGGGGAGAAGGGCTCACAGTAATGCAGATGCTGCCTCCACGAGAATTGGTCGCCTTGGATGCGATCGGCAGCCGTTCCCTTCTCGAAGATCCTCTCTCTTTTTATTTTCTCGTCTTTGCTTTTTTTTGGTGCTCTTGATGTCATGGCCACATCTGCCGCACAGATATTAATATTAATTCCTTTTATTTTATTATTTAATGAAAACTGTCACAATTTGAGTCCAGTGGTACCGACATTAGGTCGTGCAGCCGTCACCGTTTCGAGTCCCTAACAGTACTACTATGTGATATGATATGATGATATATCCCACCTAGGCAATAATAATTAAAAATAATCGGAATTGCTGAAAGAGTCTAAATTTGTCTGGATCGACCAAGAATAACAAAGTGGCCTTCACCAGCCACGATTCCTTTTCCCTTTCCTTCTTTTTCCCTGACGCAAGTGGCTAGAAAGTTGCTGTGACTTTTGCGAAACTCAATCCACTCACTCACTCTCTTCGTCCCGATCGATCATCTTCTCGTTTGTCTCCTCGGTATCCCCTTCCCTTCTTCCTCTTCCCCCCGTTTCCTCCTCATTACTACGTATCTTTTCCCTTTCTCCCTCCCTTTCCCTACCCTCCTCCCCCATCATCATCATCCGGCTTTAAACCTTCAGGTAAGTAAAGCTTGTTTCCCGCTTCTCTCTCCCCCAATTCCCTCCTTTCCCATTCCTTTACTCCTATCCCCATCCTCATACTACCTTCCACTCCCCCCGACCATCCCCGACATTTCTCCCATCCATAGCTTTTCCCGGAGCTGCCGTGCCTGAGCCACCTCCCCGCTGCGGAGGCCTTCCACCGTCCCACGGCAAGGCAACCATCCAAACACTAAGCGCCAGCAATCTATCCACTTCCTTCGGCGTGGTCCCTCAACTCCTCTATCCTTATCCACTTTTTTTTCTTCGCTCCCTCTCTGTGTCCTTTGTAGTACCTTTGTTCGTCTCACATCCTTATTTCTCGAACTTCCCCCCCCCCTCTCCCCTCCCCCTCCCCCTTGCGATTTCCCCTCACCTACTACCACCACCACCACCCACCAAACGAATAGGGGAAAAGGCAAGTTCCATTGACCGGATCATCCAGGTTGTACCGGTTGGGGATTTGTAGTAGGTGAATTTTCACCCGAGGCTCGCACCCTCTTCCTCAACCCTCTCAGAGCCATGGCGTCGCAAGACGTAGAGGGCAGCAAGGCCGAATTGAAGCAGCAGGGCGCCATTGAGGTCGCCCAGCAGGCCTCCCAGGACCCCCAGTCCCACCTCCGGGCCGAAGCTGTCGAAAAGGCTCTGGTCGAGGAGACCCGAAAGGCTGGCGTCCCGGCCTATCAATTCGATCCCGATGCATCCCCGGACGACAAAGCTGCCGCAGCAAGAGCCGTAGGTTCCCCCCCGAGATTAACGGGTGTGTCGCGTGGGCATTTGTGAGCTGACAAGAGCTTCCCTGGTATCTAGCGTCTCCCCCCGGGCTTTCATCATGACCATAAACCGAAAGGTGTGGCTGTCGTGACCGACAAAGTAAGCTTCATACCCAAATCATTGCCTTTGTCTGTTCTGCTTTTTACCCCAGAGAACTATCGCTAAGCACTGTTGGCATACTATAGGACGACGGCACCGCTGATCAGTACGACCTACCCCCTCCGAGATCCGCCACCGACCTCCTGCAGGAAAAGGCCGACGAGGCCTCGGCTGCTCCAAATGGTGAAGCTCCTGTCGAAGAAGACATGCGCTGGGCTCGCGACCGGACCGGTTGGGCCCCGCAGTTTGAACACCAACCAACGCAGGAAGAAAAGGAGGAAGGCACACTCCTGGATCACCAGACGTTCCTGGAGGGAAGACTGGATGACAAGTTCTTTGGAGGTGAGGAGATCTGCAGCTCTTAGACGCTCGAGGGGAAACTGACCTGACTGCTTAGATTGGTACCACAACGCTGGTGTCATCGTGTTCGCCTGTCTCTCGTCATGGGTTATCGCAGTTCTAGGCGGAGGTTTGGCCTGGATCTTCATTGTCATGGCCGCTTGTAGTACGTACTACCGCACGTCCATTCGCCGCGTCCGCCGCAACTTCCGAGACGATGTGAACCGTGAGATGGCCAAGCAGCGCCTGGAAACCGATACCGAGAGTCTGGAATGGATCAACAGCTTTTTGGTCAAGTTCTGGCCTATCTACGCTCCCGTCCTCTGTGATACGATCATCAACTCGGTTGATCAGGTCCTGAGTACCTCCACCCCGGCAATGATCGACAACCTGCGCCTGAAGACTTTCGTGCTCGGTTCTAAGCCGCCGCGTTTGGAGCACGTCAAGACATACCCCAAGACCGAGGTCGACACCGTCATCATGGATTGGAAGTTCAGTTTCACGCCCAACGACACTATGGATTTGACTGCCCGCCAGCTGAAGAACAAGATCAACCCCAAGGTTGTTCTGGAAGTCAGACTGGGTAAAGGTCTGGTCAGCAAGGGTCTCGATGTTATCGTCGAAGACATGGCTTGCACCGGTTTGATGCGCGTCAAGGTTAAGCTGCAAATCCCGTTCCCTCATATCGAGCGAGTGGATGTGTGCTTCATGGAACCCCCCGAGATCGACTATGTCTGCAAACCCCTTGGTGGTGATACCCTCGGTTTCGACATCAACTTCATCCCTGGTCTGGAGACTTTCATCAAGGATCAGATTCACAGCAATCTGCGCCCGATGATGTACGCTCCGAATGTCTTCCCGGTTGAAATCGCCAAGATGCTGGCTGGCAACGCGATAGACCAAGCCATTGGTGTTGTTGCTGTCACTCTGCACGGCGCTCGCCAGCTCAAGAACCCTGACGCGTTTGCCGGTACCCCTGATCCGTATGCGGTTGTCTCTTTGAACAATCGGGTTGAACTGGGTCGCACCAAGACCATCAATGATACCGACAGCCCCAGGTGGAACGAAACGATCTATGTTATCATCACGTCCTTTGCTGAATCTTTGACTATTACTCCGTATGATTGGAACGAGTTCCGCAAGGACAAGGAATTGGGAGCTGCCACCTTCCCTCTGGAGAGGCTCGAACAGCAGGCCGAACACGAGGGTCTCTACCTGGAAGTCATGGCAGGCGGAAGATCTCGCGGTGCGATTCATGCGGATATTCGGTTCTTCCCTGTCTTGGAGGGAACCCAGCTTGAAAATGGTCAGACTCAACCACCCCCGGAAATGAACACTGGTATCGCTCGTTTCGTCGTGGAGCAGGCTAAGGACTTGGACGCATCGAAGAGTATGGTTGGTCAGCTCAACCCTTACGGTGTCCTCCTCTTGAACGGCAAGGAAATCCACATCACGAAGAAGCTGAAGCGCACGAACAACCCTATCTTCCAGAATGCCTCCAAGGAATTCCTGGTCACTGACAGGAAGAGTGCCCGTCTCGGTCTTGTCATCAAGGATGATCGTGACCTTGGCAGGGACCCGGTTATCGGTACCTACCAGATCAAGATGAACGACATGCTCAAGGTGATGGAGAAGGGCCAGCAATGGTTCCATCTGAACGGTGCTAAGTCGGGCCGCGCCAAGCTCCTTCTGGACTGGAAGCCTGTTGCACTGGCTGGAATTGCTGGAGGCTCCGGCTATGTTGATCCCATTGGTGTCATGCGTTTCCACTTCAAGAGTGCAAGTGATCTTCGGAACTTGGAAGCCTTCGGTGCTTCCGACCCATACGCAAGGGTGTTGCTCTCTGGTTACCAGAAAGCACGGACTGTCACTTTCAGGAATAACCTTAACCCCGAATGGGACGAAGTGGTCTACGTTCCCGTCCACAGCCCCCACGAGAAGATTACTCTGGAGGTCATGGATGAGGAAACTATCAATGACGATCGTACACTGGGCTCTGTTGATCTTCGTGTTTCCGACTACGTCCGGGAGAACGAGGAAGGCGGATATGAGATTGACGATGAAAGGCAGCTTATTTCCAGCCCTCTGCGCAGCGGCCGCTCTCAAAAGGGTACCTTGAACTACACCGTTGCCTTCTACCCCTCCATTCCCGTGGTCAACCCCGAGGATGAGGAGAAGGAGGAAGAGAATCTCAATGGCGATGCGGAGGGAGCTGAGCTGTCACGGAAGAGCACCGATTCCAAGCGTGTGGGCGGCCACTCCAAGACTGCCAGCGTGGACTCCAAGGCAACAACTGCTCTTAATGGAACTTCTCCGAATGGTGTTACTCGCGAGGCTCAGAGCAGTCGCGCAAGCCTGGACACGAACGGCACTCGGCCACAAACTGCTAAGGACTCTGAAACAATGTCGGTTAAATCGATCAAGGAGGTGCCCAAGACCTATATCTCTGCGGAGGATCTTACCAAATACGGTGCGTTTGCTTCGATGCCCTTCAGCTCTGTGCTCAAACTGACCTCGTTACAGAATCTGGTTTCATTGTGTTCAACGTGCATGAAGTCCAGCTCTCTCGTCCCAACGTTCAGGTGGAAGTGCTCATGGATGATTACATGTTCCCTGCCTACTCTTCGCCCAAGGTCCGCAGCAAGACGGCCAAGATCGACGATGGTACGTACTGTTCCAGAATATTGTTGTTACTTAGCTAATGATGCATTGTAGTTGGCGATGCCTTTGTTCGTGAACTCGAGTTCTCCAAGATTACTCTCCGGATCATCGACAAGAACAACACCAAGGATGAGAGCGATGACCACACGGTTGCTAAGCTGACGGGAGATACCCTTACCACTCTGCAGCGCATCTTGGTAAGCCATCTCTCTCTTGACTGACTGTCATTCAGCTAACATGAAGCAGTATACTCCCACGGACCTTACCCTCCGCTCTGCCCAGGGAGAAGTGAGCAAGGTTACCGTTAGTGCCCGGTATATCCCTGTCACCATGAAGCTCGACCCGACTGAGAGTATCAACAACATGGGAACCCTGGTGGTGCACTTCCTGGATGCTGCCGACCTGCCGTCTGCTGATCGGAACGGCTTCAGTGATCCGTACTGCAAGTTCCGTCTTAACGACAAGGAAGTCTTCAAGACCAAGGTGCAGAAGAAGACGCTGCATCCGGCGTGGAATGAAATGGTTGAGACCGATATCAAATCTCGAATCAACAGCACTTGCCGGGTTGATGTGTATGACTGGGATTTCGGTGACAAGGCCGACTACTTGGGTGGTACCCACTTCGATATTACCTCGCTGACTCCATTCGAGTCTAAGGAGATTAGTCTCCCGCTTGACGGGAAGTCGGGTGCGATTCGCCTGAAGCTTCTCTTTAAGCCCTCGTACGTGGTTCGTTCCCGTCAGGGGTCGTCTACGTTCGCTGGTACTTTCGCCACTCCCGGCAAGATTGTCGGTGCCCCCGTGAAGGGAGTCGGCTTCGTTGGTGGCAACGTGATCAAGGGTGCGTCTTTCCTCAAGCACGAAGGGTCCTCTTTCTTGAAGAATGGCATCATGGGACGGTTCCGTGGAGAGGATGGGTCCAGCGTGCATGAGGCCGAGGAGGAGACTCCTGCTCCCCTCGCTCCTGCGGCCATCTTGGTCGAAGGAGAGACCCCTCCCGCTTCGGCGACGACCAACAACCTGCAGCACTCCCGCAGCCGCAGCGTTGCTTCTCACTACGGCGACCGCCTTGGAGTTGCTGGTAAGGGCGAGACGGGAACGGCCACAATTTCGGTCGTTTCTGCCTCCGGATACCCTCCCAACGCCAACGTGCGAGTCTTCATTAAGGCCATCGGCCCCAAGGGCGCCAAGGAGGTCCTGAAGAGTAAGGCTATCAAGTCTGGCGGCGGTCCTGTTTACTACGACCCGTCGCATGAAACGTGCCGCGTGCACAACACGACGGCCGATGCCCAATACCAAGTGCGGGTGGTTGACCATTCCACCTTTGGCTCGGACGGGCAGCTGGGCGAGGCACTCTTCTTCGTGGATGACCAGGGCTCTGTGGCCGGTCAAGACAAGCAGGTCAAGATTGGCACCGGCACGGTCACTCTGCGCAGCAGCTTTGCGATGTCCGAGAACAACCTTCGTCCGGGCACGGCTAACTCCAACAATGATGGAGCCTCGGAGGTGATGGACAGCCCGGACTCTAAGAAGACGGGTCGCCGCAGCTTTCTCAGCAAGCGGAGTGTCAGCGGAGCTTGATTCCGATTGATCCGCGATTATATGCCATTGACGACTTCACTGTATATTATTTATTTCCACTTTTTGACATTGACTCTGTTACTTGTATTGTTGTTTCCCCCTTAACATCCACCACCGTTGTCTTTTTGATTTGCTTAACGTGACGAGATGAGATGTGATATCCATGGGGTTTGTTCGAGTTAGCGTAGTGTTGCTTGGATACCGCCGAATTGGGCGGCTGACAATCAGAAAATTTGCTACGATGGGTTGAGACCAGTGATTGTAGGGTACTAGTAATGCATGTAGATATTGTGATCGAACTTTACCCTAAGGATATTAACTATCATCCGGAGTAGTTCTGACTTTATCCCGATTCACCGCCCAGTTCAAAGAAACTAGTAGTAACTCTAAACCATCGTATCGTTGCATCGTGGCTGGATCGGGTATTGATACTCCCCGTACGGAGTAGTAGTAGTCGACGGAATAATCTGACCGACACTTCCATACAGAGAGCGGGATAACCAGCAGGTGCTTGAGCCTCTTCTCATCATTGGAGGGGGCTGCTGAAGACGTAAGACAAGACATCCATCTGATGGGTCTCGACCTGAGGCCCAACTAGTAACCATCCCCCTCCTGACTGAGAGAACAAGTGAATGAACTGGCACCATCCATCCCCACTACCATCATTCTCGTCCCATCCACCTCGGAACTCAATCCTACTTTTAAGGCGACTAATAAAAGTAACTTGCTAAGTGGACTAAATACTTGGTGTATACCTAGCTAGTTACTTAGTGGTTAGCACGGTTTTCTAGTCGCTTCGATTACGATCTGGCCAGTCACTAAATAAGTAGATGGGTAGGATTGAACTAAAATAACCTGTCTTGCTTGCTGGTCTTAGTAGTTGTCTCGGCCTTAAGTTACTATCTAGTATCTAATTACTTACTTACCTACGGGCCTTTCCGAAAGGTGATCGTGGCGATGGGCGGGCGGCGGATCTTTGCCGAGATTTCTCTTTACTCACCTCTTACTAGACTAGTTCGGAGGAGGAGGAATGATTGTGGGTTTGCCAGGTGTTCATACTATCTACTACGTACTTGAGGTCGAGTTCACTAGTCTTGGTGTAGGTGTAGGGTTGGGTTCGGTTGGACTGACATACATACATGTACATACATCATCACCATACTCCGTATACCGTCAGTTTCAATCTCTAGAAGGGGATCGGAAGGGCACGTAGTGAAATTGGGGGTGGGCGAATCTTCTTGCAGAGCTAGATAGCTAGGTTAGTGCCGACTGCATCAAGGAAAACCAGACATAAGTAACATGCATACATGCAGATTGGTTATTATTATTTTTTCTTAGCGTGGATGGTCTGAGCTTTTCGTGGCGCGAGTCATCTTTTCGGGGATGCGTAGTCCGGAGAATTACCCACTTAGTTTTGTATACTAGTATACTAGTAGCTATTAGATAGATACTACGACTGGGACTTGGTTTTTGGGGGAAGTGATTAAGGGGGTCATAGTTCATAGTTAGTAGTTATACACAGTTCTTTTACTCCGTAGTTTGGATAGCTAGGTTATTAGGGGGGAAGCAGTTGGTAGTAGAAGGTAGAAAGGAGGAGGGGTAAAAAAAGCTGGTGGATGGATGGATGGATGGATTATAATTAGAAATGAAATTAGACTTATTGGGTAACTATCTATGTGCCTAAAGTAAGTCAGTTAGTTTCACTTCAAGATTTCCATTCTTGTAGGGTCTAGTAGGGTGGTATGTATATGTAGGTTGGTAGTAAGTAGATTGGGTGGCAAGAATGACACGAAATAGCTGCATGGCATAATGACAGCGGTTCGTTGGGGTGGATCAATGGGAATTCCATGGTAATGGAATCTCTGTTGCTGTCTGAACGTTATTAGTTATACTTTCAATGTACTTCCGTAGCTACTTAGGGCATGACTGCTTTTGCAGGAGGAATTGTGATGTGTATTATCGGTGGTATTATTATTATTGTTATTATTCTTATCCTCAGGCCGAAAAAGAGGGGCACTTGCAGGGTGGGTTTCTGATAGTTTCATACCTGATGCTTTACTACTGTACCTACTAGTTACTTATGATCTATCTGTGTTGAGTAGAATGCTTGATCTCTCTCCCGTTCATTCGGCGTAATGATATTCTCCAGCTATTGTTTCAGGAGGTGTTGCTTGTTAATCTCCAACATTAAGAGGGGCAAAGACAACTGCGGTGACGAGGACAAAGTGGGGCAGGCATGAAATAGTATTAATTGAACCCTGAAAAAAAGGGGGCACTGACGGGGGGAGGGAGGAGGGAGGTCTAGAAGGGAAAGGGAAAGGGAGATATTCCAACTGTCAGATGATGAGCTGCGTTGCGATCGGCCCGGGTTGGCATGTTGCTATGCAGGTAATCAATGCAGCAAGTTTACCCTACCTACCCCTCTTCCATATTTTATGAGGGTTTGGCTGTAAGTTGTTGGGTATACAGAAGGAAAGAAGAAGAGGGGAAAGGAATTATGATTTTTTTCTGTGTGGGATTATGACCATGGTTTAGAATCTGATTCACACCCGGTTATCGAAAAAGGGAGAGAGGACGACAGAAAGAGAGTGATGAGAGAGGATCAAAGGTCTCAGATATCAAGTAATTCATTTCAACTTGCTGGCCAGACGGCGGATTCCGGGTCCAAAAAGCTGCTAAGAATAACTTACTGGCTGGCCTACCAAGGAAATAAATATTTCTTCGGGGTGGGAATGTTGGGCTGCCCACCCACCAACCCCTCCCGACTTCATTTCGTCTTGTACCGTAATTTCTCCCCTGGTTGGGCCTGCTTGCCACCAAATGTTTGTGGTTATGACGCTGTATGAAACGGTACCTGACGCAGCCCCTGCTGGGTTGGATACTCCCCACTTTTTATTTTTCTGGTTTATTTTTCCTAGAAAGGCAGATGGGATGGATTTCAATCGTCATCGTATTATTATTTATCATTATGATTTAGGTGTCCAATCTTTCCCTCATCCATCTGTTTCCCCCCCCTCCCTCTAAAAGTCTAGAATAATTTTAAAAATAAAAGTAATAATAGTAGTTATCTAGTACGGAGTAGTGGGTAATTAATTAAATATATCTTGGGAGGGACCCCCGTCGCGCTGTTGCTTATCATCTTGCTGGCTTCTTCTCTGGCTTCTCTTTTTCTTCTCTTCTCTCCCCCATTCTCCATCCAATCCCTCTCTCTAGTATCTCTCCTCAATTGCTTCTTCCTTCTCTCTCCCCCCCCTCCACCTTCCCCTCCATCACCTTCTCTCTACCACAACTCTACTTACTGCTGCTCCCATCGTGCCTGGTATGTGTACTATCCTCTTCTGCTTCCCCTCTGATCCATTGTTTGCCTTCCGCTGTCGCACCAATGGCCTGTCGCCGAAGCGTTGCCCATGACCGAAACGATCGTCACTCGCTTGGACGTGGCAATTGGCATACACACGTACCCCTCATTCCGAGCTCGCTCCCTCTCCCCCCCAGCCAGCATTTAGAATTGTCCTGCTGGCCAATTCCACTCTTCCTTCCCCCTATTTCTTTCCCATTGACTTCCCGAGCTGCTCCCATTCTTTCAAGCTCTCTGACACCTCGCTAACCTTTCTTCCCGTCTCAAGTGAGCAGTGACTAGCTTCCCGCCGTCGCATCCCGTGTTTACATCCTTACACCTACCCTCCTACAACCACTCCTCCTTCATACAATGGCTTCCAAGGCTTTGCCCAGTCACCTCAGAGCTCCCGCGAGCGACTCCGCGAGTGCTGCCTCCTTCGGCAAGCACCACGGAAAGTCCCAGTCTCACATGGTAAGTTTTGTCGCTGTGTGATGTTTCCTTGTTGCACCGTTGTCCGTGGTCCACCCTGTCGCTCGCGCCTTCTACGAACGGCTTCCAGCCTGCCAGGAGGAGCTGGAGGATGGCAAGAGGGAAGAGCGCGATTGCTCTAGGCAGATCGGATCTCAAGATTCAACTGGTCCTTCGCGCTCTTCTCTTCTCCATCTCTCTGCCTCTCGTTTTGCTGCAGCTACCATTATAATATGGACGAGAATTATCCTTATATTATCGTTGGGCTGGGTGTATCGATGGCAATCAGCCATGTGATACGTCATGTCGCCGATATACATAATCCAGAAGGGGCAATATGCCTAGTGATTCTCATTCTTTCTATTTGCATACCGATAGCTCTGCAGGATGGAGTTGAATCAAGATTCCATACATGCATGTCTCTCGTTACCCCACCAGCGTCTTTCGCGTTCTTCTCAATGTTTGTGTTCTATGACCGACTACTGAGCATTTCTGCCGCTGCCTTTGATCCCCCGCGTGTCTTCGTTCCGGTGATTGCAGGCGTGCTTTTTATGTTTTTCTACTTGTTAAGTGTCCTGCCCCATCAAGTTCTGTCATGGGGCTGTGATTCTGTCTTTGTCCCTCCTGGCTTGGGCATTGCTGCGTACCCACCTTACGTTTTTGGGGTGGTCTGCCAGTTTTATATCTGGCAGGATGCATTTCATTCCATATATACGTGGGTGACAGACAGGGTCCATGTGCAGAGGTCACCGTGGATACAGCGGCTACGGGACATTGCAACTGCAACTGCAATTGTTTGGTTATTGTATATTCTAACTTCCGTCTTTACAAAACAGGCCTTCGAGAATGCCTCCACTAGCGTGGCTGCCTCTCAGATGCGCAATGCCCTGAACGCCCTCGCCGAGACCGTCCCCGATGCCGCGGAGCGCAAGCGCTTCGAGGCCGAGATGGACAACTTCTTCGCCCTCTTCCGCAGATTCCTCAACGACAAGGCCAAGGGCAACGAGGTCAACTGGGACCGCATCGCCCCTCCCCAGCCCTCTCAGGTCGTCAACTACAATGATCTCGGCAGCGAGGCCTCCGTTGAGTTCCTGAACAAGCTGGCTGTTGTCAAGCTCAACGGTGGTCTGGGTACCTCCATGGGCTGTGTCGGCCCCAAGTCCGTCATTGAGGTCCGCGAGGGCATGTCCTTCTTGGATCTGTCCGTCCGCCAGATCGAGCACCTCAACCGCACCTTCAACGTCAATGTGCCCTTCGTCCTGATGAACTCCTTCAACACCGACCAGGACACCCAGTCGATCATCAAGAAGTACCAGGGCCACAACGTTGACATCATCACCTTCAACCAGTCCCGTTACCCCCGTATCATCAAGGACTCTCTGCTCCCCGCCCCCAAGTCCTTCGACGCCCCCCTGCAGGACTGGTACCCTCCCGGTCACGGTGACGTTTTCGAGTCCCTGTACAACTCCGGTACCCTGGACAAGCTCCTCGAGCGTGGTGTCGAGTACATCTTCCTGTCCAACGCCGACAACCTGGGTGCTGTCGTCGATCTCCGCATTCTTCAGCACATGGTTGACACCCAGGCTGAGTACATCATGGAGTTGACCGACAAGACCAAGGCTGACGTCAAGGGTGGTACCATCATTGACTATGAGGGCAAGGCTCGTCTGCTCGAAATTGCTCAGGTCCCCAAGGAGCACGTCAACGAGTTCAAGTCCATCAAGAAGTTCAAGTACTTCAACACCAACAACATCTGGATGAGCCTCCGTGCCATCAAGCGTGTGGTGGAGGAGAACGAGCTGGAGATGGAGATCATCGCCAACGAGAAGTCCATCCCTGCTGACAAGAAGGGTGAGGCCGACCAGGCCATCTACCAGCTGGAGACCGCCGTTGGTGCTGCCATCCGTCACTTCAAGAATGGACATGGTGTCAACGTCCCCCGTCGCCGCTTCCTGCCCGTCAAGACCTGCTCCGACCTGATGCTGGTCAAGTCTGACCTGTACCGCCTGGAGCACGGTCAGCTTGTCATGGACCCCAACCGCTTCGGTGGTGTCCCCGTCATCAAGCTCGGTTCCGACTTCAAGAAGGTCTCTGACTTCCAGAAGCACATCCCCAGCATCCCTCGCATTGTCGAGCTGGACCACCTCACTATCACCGGTGCCGTCAACCTGGGCCGCAACGTGCAGCTCAAGGGAACTGTCATCATTGTGGCCACGGAAGGCAGCACCATTGACATCCCTCCGGGTTCCGTGCTTGAGAACTGCGTTGTGCAGGGATCCCTGCGCATCCTGGAACACTAGATTGGTGCATCCATGGGCGGCCGCTTAATTCCTACTTCCGAAAAAGGTCGTCGTTGCCCCTTTGTCTCATCTGGGATGATACCGAGGCACGAATTGGCTAGGTGGGCTTGATAGAATTTCTGTTTGAGCGGAGTCACTTGTCTTCTTCTTCGCCGAGGCCATTTATTCTGGTCGTTTAGTGTTCTTTAATTGGAAGCATTCTGCGCCCTCTTCTCTCTCCTGGATGCCGGAATGCTGGGTCAAAAAGGGTTTCTCAGGAGGAAAAAAGCTGCAGAGTGTGGGGGCCAGCGTTTAGCTAGGAGATATCACCGTACGTAATGTCCAATTCATATTATTCACCTTTGGATCTTGTATCATATGAAATTTGCATGAGTCGTAGGAGTAGTACATGTTGATTGTCATGCGTGCTGGAATATCACGTGCAAATGGCTCTCTGTATCCGCCGGAACGGGCTTCCGCTGCCTTGTTTCTGTGCCATCTATTGTCCCCTGCAACTTGCTTCGGCGGAAATCTAGCTACATGTTGGCTTCTCACTGGGTTGGCTTGTTTCAGTCGCGATCGTCGCAGCTGCAACGTTCATAGTTTTCCTTTCTGATGGCCGTCCATCATGATGGCTGCGGTCCCGGCCGCCGTCCAAGGCCTCGCCCCGTGTTCTACAACTGCTCGGACATGGTTTCCTGACGCCTCTAACGTAGGTGGTGTCCGTTTAATCTACGTCATAAGAAGGTAAATAATTTGCAGAATAACAATGGTAAGGGGGCATGTGCCTGCTCGACGGGCCTTTTCTCCCCTGTCCTCCAACTATATTGGTTCGCCACTCCGTGTCGTGGGTGTTTGGCCATACAGACTCTTTCTATCTAATCATCCCCACCCCCACACGCCCTCTCAGGGGAAACACTTAATGACGTTCCACTGCTTTTGTCTCTTTGAACATGCAACATGACTGAATTCGGCAGTCAACAACACCGTCAGCTGGCGCCAGGTCCGTCGCCTACCAAGTCGGACAAATTTCAACCGGGTGATAGCCCCCCTGGGGATAGCTTTCGGACCGCTTCGGATGTCTCGAAGAAACGCGTGTCCATGGCTTGCTTGGCTTGTAAGAAGTCCAAACGGAAGGTAGGTCTTTCTTACGAACAAAGTGGGTGAAAGGGGCGAGCAGCCGTCTGGCATTGTATCTAATCCCCTTGACAGTGCTCTGGAACAGCACCATGTGACAACTGTCGTGCGTTTAACCGACAGTGCATATTCGATGAGACGCTCGACCAGCGTCGAAGAGTAGCAGCAAAGCGTACGGCTGATGAGCTGAGCTATCACCGAGATATGCTGAACGATCTCTTGAAGGTGATGCGTGCAGAAGATCAGTCACATGCTCTGAAACTACTGGAATTCATCCGGAAGGATGCCACGGCCGAAGAGATTCGTACGTATATCGACGATACTCTCGGCCGGATAGAGGGATGCAGCAAGGTGAGTGACGCGGCGGGAAGGCAGCCACAGCAGGTTAGACGGGTGATCGATGTCGAAGGAGCTGGGCCGTCGTTTCGTCCCAAGGTTATGGATATCCATTACTTATGCAACGAAGTCCCTCACAGGGTCCCCGCAGAGCCCTGGACCACCGTAACCGGCGATGCTGATCTCGTCTCTCATCTCGTGTCTCTCTACTTCACCTGGGACTATCCCTTTCATGCCTTTCTCGACCGCGACGTCTTCCTCAAGCATATGCGGAAGGGTAACACCAATTCGGAGTTTTGCAGTCCATTCCTTGTGAACGCTCTGCTTACCAACGCTTGCGTAGGTCTTCTTATCTCTTGTCCATGAATCTATCACATCTGTCATCCAACCGGGTGTGTATACTGGTCTTCTTCAGTGGAGGGTCTTTGGAATGTCAGCTAAATGTCGGTTTACAGCACTTTTCAGATTACTCGGAAGCCTATGTCGAACCCGGGGATATCATGACCAAAGGGGCCGATTTCCTCGCGGAAGCGGAGCGTTTGAGAGAGGAAGGGCCTATGAAGCTGAGTCTGGCTAATTTGCAAGGCACGCTGTTGTTGCATGAAAGATATGCAATATCGGGTGAAGATGATCTCGGATATCGTATGCTTCATCAAGCCATTTGGACCGGCGAATCTCTAGGTCTCATAGGCCCAAGGAAATTCAGCTTGAATCCGGGACAGATCTCAGATGATATGGATATTTCGATCAAGCGGACGGCTTGGGGTTTGTTTCACATTGACACGTGAGCTAGCCAAACCTGCTATGTCTCAGGGATGAAGCCACTGACAGCAATCCCGACAGTGTTGTGCATGCCGATTTTCTGCGGCCCAGCCTTATTGACAAGGTCAACCTCGAACGGCCCAATCGGTATAGCGCCGAAGACTCGAGTTTGTGGTACCCTTACCCCTCTCATCGATCTGCTCGGCCGTCCTACTTGAGCCACTACTTTAACGAGTCATGCAACCTGTGTGAAATTGCACGAGACGTATCACAGCGGCTCTTTGGAATCGACGCCAATGCTGCTTCTGCCGAGCACCTCCGTCAGATCCAGGAAACCCTGTATGAAAGGCTGCGTGGCTGGTATAGTAAGCTGCCGGATATCTTCGATCCGTATCATAGGCCACCACCGTACATCATATTGCTGAGGTAAGGACTCTACATACGTCTTTTGCCCCTGTGGATTTTCAGATGTTCTGTGGCAGCTACAGATAATGGCAAGGTGCTGATAGGAGCAGAATGCGCTACCATACGTTGGTGATCAACATCTTCACCTTCAGGACTGAGCGAACCAGGAATACTCCCGACTCCGAGGCACCAAAAACACCCGAGAGCCCACCGGGACTAAGCCCCCTGCCCAAATACAATACCGTAGGCATCGTACAATCTGCAGCGCGCGCAATAGCTGCCCTGACGGTTCTCCACCGACGAGACTATGGCATCAGTCGTGCTCATCATTTTGCCATGTATGCAATCAACCTGGCACTCTTCACGTTGCTGGAGTCTGGGACGTTCGATGTCTTAGACTCTGACTTTCTTGCGCTTGCCAGCTCTTTCTCCAATATTGCCAGTCGGTCGCCGTTGGGACGGTCTCTCCTCCACATCTTCCGGCAGGCTGTTCATGCCAAAGGGCAAGGCAGGCGGCTGCGAGAGTCGAATGCGGTCTCGGATGATCTCAAGGCGATGTTTGACGAAGAATCTACGTCGGCATCCCGGTGGGATGAGTATGCCGCAGGATTACAAAAGCTGGAGATGGACGAACGCTACCGCGGAGTCTGGGATGGGGAGTTCAGTCTTTCCGACATGCTCGATCGATATGAGAGTCTGAGCTTGGGCAAAGATGAAATTGCGCCTGAGCGGCTGCGCTGTTGATGGGGGTCGCTGCTCACATCCCCAGCTCGAATTCGGAGATTGATTTTGTTCCTTTTCACATGGCAATTACGAGGCGTACCGCGACATCTTACTTTTTCGTTTATGCTTTTTCTTTTTGGGCTTCCGTGGACCAGCTATGATTTCCGCGGGAGAGAGACGCTCGGGCATACGCTGTGTTGCGAGCAAATAATTTCCTATAGTACATCAACGAGAGTTGACTTATCGCATGAACTCCCGCTTTCCCCTACCTTTGGTCCGTGGAAAGTTTGTTACTCAGTGGTTTCAACTTTACGTTTACCTTTATTGTGCAGCAATTGGAAGAGGACAAGCTTCAGGTCAATGACGTCACAACAGGTGACTCGCGACCTTCGCCCTGATTTTGTGGCTGCTGAACCAACTTCTCAGCGACTTCTGTTCCTCTCCATCTCCCTGATGTATCGCGCTTTTGTTTTCACCTCTGATTCGCGATGGAAGACGCGCCTGGATCATATCCCTTCGGCGTCGCTAACGCCGACGATACCCCCCTCCAAATTGATCCCGAGAATCCTGCCGTGAGGGGCATCAACGAGTGGCCATGGGGTTCGATGAGCCCCGGGTTACCCCCTGCGGCCTTTCGCCCCTATTCTCTGCCCCAGTTCATGGACCGACCGGGCCCCTACCCCTATCAATCGTCATCGTCATCATCCCGTGAAGTCTCGGGCTCTGCTGCCAAAGTGGCTATTCCCCGCACGACCAGCTCAAGTAGCCAGTCACAACGCCGGCGGTCGGCGAGAGCCTGCGAGCCATGTCGACAGCGGAAGATTAAGTGTGATGGGAACAAGCCAGTGTGTCGACAGTGCATCGATCACAATGTCAGCTGCTTCTTCGTGGATGTCAAGCGGGTCCGTGATCAGAAACAGCTCGGGATTTTGGGCAAGAAGGTGGAACAATATGAGCATCTGCTGCAGGATCTGGAGAAGGAAGTCGATGAGAATGTGGCCAGACGCATTCGTAAAGTTCTTAGGGTAAGTCGCGGTGCCTATCTGTCTGGCCTATACATTGCCAGTATTCCTTAGTCCTTCCTTAGCATATGCGGTCGCGTGATGTAGGATTCTATCTAACTGTAATGGGCGATCTGAAAGGGCGCCGATATAACATCTCCTCCCGACGATGACGGCGACTCCGACTCTGGGACCTCGTCCATTGGTTCGCTAGAGGCACTCGACTTAGTTGAGGAAGACTTGAACCGCAGCGAGAAAACGGTGGCTACGGGCTTCTATGGGAAGAATTCTGAAGTCGCTTGGATGCAGAGACTCGAGGATGAACCTGAAAATCGAAATCGGATAAAGGAGGATTCGGTCGATATGGAGGACGGGGTGGGAGGTGGGCACGCAACGTCATCGCAGCAAAAGCAGGAGACAGCGATGGCCGCATTGAGTTATTACCTCGATGATATCGGTGTTCCTTTGCTCGACTCAGTTGATCCCTACGCACTGCCCCCGAAGGACATAGCCAATCACTTTTTCACTGCGTTTATGGACTCGGTCCATCCGTCATTCAATGTCGTCCGGAAGACGGCCTTTGTGTCCCAGTATCGACAGTTCTTCAGCCAGCCGGCCCAGCCTCCGCAGCGTTGGTTGGCCATTCTGAACATGATATTCGCAATTGGATGTCGGTTTACCAAAGCGACGAGTGGCCGAACAGACGGCCGCGATTATGATGATCTGGTGTATTTGAACCGGGCACGCAAACTGACTCTCAGCGAGAAGGTCATCTTTGAGCATGCGGATCTTCAGCAAATCCAGGTCGAATTTTTGGTGGCCCTATATTTAGTCAGCATGTGTCAAATCAATAGGTAAGTGTGGCCCAGGTAGGAGAGTTTGTTAATCACTTGCTGAAACTAGTTCTACTGCAGGGCATTCAAATTCTCCAGTATGGCCTTCCGATCTGCTGTATCCCTCGGAATCAACTTGCGCTTCGTCGACGATCGCACACAGTATCCC